AAAAATAAAATAACCAAAGACCCAAAAATTTATTGCCCTCGAGCAGCTCCGACAGCCCGGTGCGTCAAAAAATATTCTCAATTGCCCGCGGTCTATGTCTCTAATCGAGAAACAAAGCTACTATCCCTGTTCTCTTTATTTTCATACTTTTCGCACGACTTACCCGCGCGAATCTCGCGCCACGTATATATAATATGTACACACGCATGAACCGCGCGTACAATGAGACAGACAGAGATGGAGCTTCGGATTGAATTTTATCGATTCGCACGAAGGGCACGAGGGTCGAGCCGATGCCTCCACCGGCTGCTGTGCCAAGAGAGAAAGGGGGAGCGCAACGCGACAGACGTTAGTCACGGAGCCTCGTACAGGAGAAGGAGAGCCGCCCCCTCGGCCGATTGTGTGCAGCGAGGGTGCGCTCCCTTTGTATACCCCTCCCTCTCGTCCTGCTTTATGCATGCGTCTACCCCCCCCCACACTTTTTTTCGCTCTTATCCTCCATCTGTATAATCTATATACACTGCGTGTACGTGCAGGGGTGGAAAGCGCGCGTTGCTGTACACAGGGTAGAGGGTTAAGGGCGGACGAAAAAAAAAAAAAAATATATACATACATGCTGGTGCGTGCAGGTCAGGCGGAGAGAATCGGTCGAATGGCTAAGCCTATATATTATGTGGCTGTGTCGGAAACGGTCGCTGCGTCGAATTATACGCGCTGCATGCATGTGTGAGAGATATGCAGCCCCGCGATCGTTTGATATCGATCGAGGTGGGGGAGGCAGGCTGTAGTGTCGGCATAGTTTTTTGTTATTTTTAACGTTACTTTTAATTGTTTTTATTATATCTTCCTTTTTTTCAAAAAAATTAATATTCATTTGTTAATTTATTAAATTGTTTAATACATAAATAATTTATCTTATCTGCATACACCTCACAGGTTTCTCGGTTTGGCCATTTTCCTTCGCACGTCTATTATGGGGTAGATTGTCGGAAGAATCGGCTCAGCAGTTTTTTAAGCACACGTCTGTATCTATTTGAAGAAAAAAATAACGCAAAAAGTGTTTTGTTCATCACAGGAAACATTCATACGTCGGATGATCTTCGATGCTTTAATCGGAGATCGCGTTACCACTTGTATATATACATCTATAATAAACTCCACGTATGCCTCTAGTTCGCACGTTTTCGGCTCTTATTGTCCCTGAGATCGATTACTTTTGTTACATCTATCTCCTGAACCTCATAGTAATCACGCACAATGTTAAAATACATCCCCGTTACTTTACAAAAATATGAAAAAGGTGCGCGTGAAAAAAAGAAAAAGAAAGGCTCGGGTGTGCCATTTTCGCCCAAATCAGTCCTTTTTCACCCCTTTCATCCCCGTGGAAAAAAAAGGGGGGGGTCGTTCCACCCTTGAGGTACAAAGGAGCCCGCGTTATTCGCGAAATTCTCATAGATTCCGCACGAAAAACCACCATATGCATTCGCGTCGAAAGGGAGAAGGGTTAAAATACGGAGTGCGTATAATATATATGCTTGCCGTTTTTTTTTTTCCACGAGCATCGAGAGCGAAGCGCTTTTGTATGCACGCGTGGAAAAAAAAAGAAAGAATGAAGTGGCGTCAAATTGAATTAGGCCATTGTGGCGAAGAAGACGAAGAAGAGGGCAAAATCCGTGGCTACAATGAAACACAAGTACAATCCGCGTGCTGTTTTTGTTCAAGATTCCCACGCTTGCTTGGAAAACGCGTGTGCGCACCTTTATTTTTTCACGATAGAAAAAGAAAAGAAAAAAATCATCCCTCCGGAGTACCATCGGCTACTCCTCTCCGCGTTGCATACCCCGCAACCAATTATTATTTTTTCGCACGCGTTACGACATCATGGGATTGCGCGACAAAGGGCATCTCTCGAAAATTCAGATGCTGGAAAAAAAAAGTTGATCCAGTGTACATCTATTGATCCGAGCGCGCCTCGAATATTAAAATCACACGTCAAAGTCACACCGGAGTCACTTCGTACCATCCAAACAAATCGGCGAACCGCCGTGACACAAGTTTCCCATGTGTATATAAAACGAGGCCAAAAAAAAAAAAAAAAAAAAACAGGAGGAGCCTTTCCCTCCTCTGTATATTTTGTGGTATCGGCAGCATCCCTCCAGAATTTCGGGCGTCTTCGGCTCTTTCCGACGTCCTTGCGTTTGATTCGCGCGCTCGAGCCTGCGTGTGTATAATATATCAGGGGATGCGCTTCGCCTTCTTACGAGTCTTCCTCGAGATGGATGTCTTCCTTTTTGGCCTGACCACGTGGCTTTCGTATTTCCATCGAAAAATATGTACCGATGTATATATACTGTGCTTGCATGATTAAAAGAAACAAACTTATCACTGAAAATGAATCATCGGAGTAAAGGTGAGTTGCGTAACATGTGTTGACGATACGCGTTATAAGATATACGGTGTCCACTGCTGTAAGCGCCACGGCACTTTTGACAAAATTGGGCCATTTCCACCCATGGATGTGTCAGAGCCGTAGTAGCTGATGATAATTCAAACTCCGGCGGATTAGAATATCTTAAATCTTTCGAAAGTACTTTTAACCAACGTCGAGACCACGGTACTGTGATTTAAAGAGCCCCGAACCCTCGGGAATTTAAAAGCCCTCCCGCAATCTTTGACCAGAGCAAAATAAAAACACGCAGGATCCCCAAAGACGTGTATGTCCCGAGTACACACGGGAGTTTGGTAGAGAGTCGCGAAAAGAAGAATCGGGAGAGGGGGAGACTGGCAACATTATCAAAAAGAATATGATAAAAAAAAAGTAGTCGGCAGAAGAAGCAGAGAGAAGAGGGGACGTAAACACGTACACACATACACGGGCGCGCCTCCTCGGCGCAGGTCCTTTTTTTCGCGAGCGCCCGCCGACGCCTGAGAGAAGACGAGTCCCTCTCTCTCCCCTATATCACATATATACATAGCAGCTTGTGTGTGGGCACCAGCGCACGCTGATGCGAAATAATATTCCGTCCTTGGCTGATGCTCCTTGCTTTTTTGAAGGTTCCACGTACGTGTTTACACTAATGCATGTACGATGGGCAAAGAGACGGCTATCCGGGAAAGATAAGAAATAAAATTTTTCTTTCTCTTCAATGTTATCTATTGGTAACGTATGCACACCCATAACCGTGGGTACGATGCCTCATTAATATGATGGCCCTTTATTTTTCGTCACTCCAACCGTGAACAAGTTTTTTCAATTTCATCAGTTTAAAATTCGGCAGGGTAAATTTATTAACCAGGTATAAAATTGTTTAAAGTGTTTTGTGCACAACAAAGAAAAGGTATCGCCCAACACAACCCCCTCCCAGCAAAACACAACGCTCCTCGCGCCGTGGGAGCCGGCAAAACGAGCCGAGGAATACCATCGCACCAACACACGTAGAGGCTCCAAAAGTCCGCCCTTCCTTTTTTCCCCGCTCCGGCGGCTCTCATCGGCGGCGGCGAAAAACCCCTCGGGGCGCCGTATATACAGCACGGGCCGGGCCATTGCAGCGCGGTTTCTTCAGTTCGCCACCGATCCTCGAAGCGAGCGGCCCGCCCGCGAGAGTGAGTGCCAGGGCTCCCCCTCGCACCACGAGCAGCGCCGCCCCACACTATACACGGACTTTCTATCTATACGCGATCGTCTCCATCCACCCCCTTTTCTCTCCCCGTCGTTAAATATACGCACTGGCTATACGTGTACGACCGAAAGTGTAATTTTACGTAACTCGCGCTTTCAAACGGAGAGAGAGAGGGAGCAAGTGCAGCAAAAAAAAACCACCCCCCCCCCCCTTCATATATGTATAACTGTGGTGCGTGTATAAAAAAAAAGTATATAATATATAACAAGCTACTCCAAAGACATACGAGTAGTTCGTTGCGCGAAAAACAGGAGAACGAAGCGATCGGTACCGTAATATATACACTTGCGTGTAATTAGTGCACACCATGTTACAGGTATATTTATAAAAGTGAATTTTTTTTTCAAAAAATCGGAGAAGCGTAGGAGGAAGATATTATATATGTATACGTATTACGTTGCGTGGTGTGTGTAAAACGCAGTCGATGCGCATGCGTGAGTGCGGGAAAAAAAAAAGATCGTAGCCGCCGCCGCAGCTGCCGTGTACTAAACGCGCACACATTGCAGTTTCCATTCGCCGCCGCCGCCGCCGCCGCCGTCGACTGTCCCAGAATCAATAAGCCGCGGCGGTAGCAGACGCCGCCGTCGTGCATAATATATATGTGTATATAAGATCATCCATCAGTTCCGTGCGTTTGTTGTTATCATCGTCTTTGGTCTCTTTGGTATATTATTATCATTATCATCATCATCATCGTCCTGTGCAGTGATAACGAGAAAATAAATATTTATATAACATGTTCTCGCGCGCGGATCGTTGATAGGATATAACGTGTATACAACAACATTGGTTTGCAACGAAAATAATAATGATGTTCGGTGTGCCAATGTCGAAGACGAAATGGCAGGCGCTACGGTGATTGTGCAACATCTTCAGCAAGTGTGTGCGGGAGACCCGTGAATCTGCAACATTAGTATATATATATATAACAACACACTGCACCTAACGAATACGCTGGCCGCTGGAGTCATGGATATAGTGTAAAACGGCCTCCTCCTATATGTGCGCCGTGTCACATATATATATATATATCCGTGTAAATGCACCAGGTTGTTTTTCTTCTCTTCTTTTTCTCTTTAAACGCACATTGGACGTGCACATGAGTTGCTGCGACGCGCTCTCTCGCTACTCTTTGGATTTTGCGTCTTTTGTGCGACTCCAAAGGAAAATTCGGATGGTGTTTTATCATACACATGCGAGTGAACGACTGTTACATATATACGAGTGTGCGTGTGGTTGGGTCGACTTGTGACAATAATAAACTAGGATAACAATAATATAGTCGCTATTTTGGGGGAGGTAGACAGAGAGAGAGAGAGAGAGAGAGAGAGAGAGAGATATATATACATATATAATCATGGAATCGATGGTGCCGTCTTGCACGTCGGGACTCCTGGTGCCGGGCAAGACCGTCGACATCAATACCTACCACTCGAGCTTCTACTCGCCTCCGCCCACCGAAGCGTAAGTCTTGATGCCTTTACTTTATTATGTTTTCAACTACTTCATTAATCGTATGCGTATGTAATTTTATGTGTACATAAATATGTTAATAACATTAGTAGGATGTTTGTTTTTTTCCTAGATTTGGGGGTGGGAGTGTACAAAATTTGGGGCTGTTTCTTCCGATTCAATTACCCTGTATACAAGCATGTAATAGATTAGATTAAAAGGCTGCTTTCCACAATGATATAAATACGGATTCTAGACATTTCTGCTTGTTTACGTTCATCATTACATTGATATCGCAAACAAACGCCTCTGTATGTGTGTGCGTGTACCACATGTGGGTGTATATGTATACATAACTATAATATGCGGTCAGCGTTCGAGAATTTAAAAGCCAACTCATTTGGAGATAGTATATCTATCTATATAGGTGCTTTACCAACACGCAAGTACGTAAAAATAACGTGGAGGGAGGAAATAGTAGAAGTGCAAGTACTCTCTGATGGTATACTTACTCTTCTCTATTTTATGTGCTTATCGTGTGGAGTGTACTTTTAGATAACGGGAACTATGTGTGTCACAGATAAGTGGTCAATTTCGTACGAATAATAATGTGCCATAATACATTTTGCGCACTTTTCACGTGTATAGGAAACATAAAAAGAGGTCGACTATTTTTTTTTACAATATCATGCGTAGTCATCTTGAACAAGTGCATGATACTTACATTTGTACTCCGGAAAATAGCGCTGCGCGCGCCACTCTTGGTGTTTATTCGCAATTGACGGTATGCCCAGTGAAAATATATATATGTACACTTCTTGCTCATGTATATTTATGAGAGTTTGTGCGATGGTCGTGGAAAATTTTCGTGTATATATATACTCTTATTTTTGTTGTTTCCGTATACTTACGTACATTTTTTTTTTAACTCGTGCATCAAGCTTCGTCTTTATTTATTGATGTATACAGGCGAAAGTGCTCTTCTTTTTTTTGCACGCCAAAGTATCGAATGAATTTGTTGCGCGAAATATATATAATCAGAGCCTTGGTTGGTTCATCGGGATCGCGACACTCTGTTGTAATGGCAATATGACAGTAAACGTGACAGATTATTTATACTTATTATTGTTCTCCTCGTGTTCTCGATGCGCTTACGAGTAGGTATATATATAGCTGATTGTAGTATAGGTACACGGAGTAGTTGTGTAACACTGTCGGTGCTGGGGTTCTCGACTTGCGGTGCGACACACATAATTGACTCCATTGGTGTGTGTTTTTTCCTATGCGTGTGCTCCGAGTTACACAACACAGGTACTACACTTACGTCTCGTACGAATGATGGATTGCAACTGTTTTTTTTTTTTTTTTTGTTTTTTTTTTACGTGGGTTAATAATAGCGCAAAATTGGTGCGTTTAGCTAATATTTCATAAAATGAAGTATACATAGGTTCATAATTATACAAAAACTAGATTGAACAGTCACTTTTCACTAAAAGATTTTATTTATAAAANGTATGTAACTTATGTTATTTTATATACTGTGTCTCTTGAGAAGTTGTTTGCTAATATTTTTTTTTTTTTTTTTTTTTTTCAATTAGTATACACAAGGTTGAGAGTTTTTTGGTAAATTATTAAGCTAATCTTGTCTTGAAAAATATACATCAAAATTACGTTTTTTTTAATGACAAAATAATATAAAGCAACAGTGGTCGGGTGTCGCTGTTGGTTTTTTTGTTTTTGTATATTCGCGTACTTACGCGGTAGTGATGACGATGAGAACAAAAGCACGGAACACGAGACGCGAGAGTCGCATTATTGTGTGTACATAATATATAATAAGCACACTTGGACCGTACAGTATTACCTGTATGTATACTTGATACATTTTATAATATTATTACCATTGCAGTGTGTATAAGTATCGAGAAATGTATACATACGATGGTGAGGCTTTATGCACTGGCACTCGAATATACAGTGCTTCGATGAGTGTATGTACATTTATATGCTGGCACATTGTACAAAGGCACTATAGTGCAGCTCCTCGCGATTCGATTGAAGACTCGAGTGAGAGGGACGCCTTTGTGTTGAGTTTTTAATGATGTTTTGATACTATATATTATATATTGCTTCTGGACGAATCCTTTTTTTCGCGTAAAAAATTAGTCGATTCATTTTCGCGACATAAATGGAGACAGACGTTATCAAGACGGGCTGGTTCTCCAAAATTATCTTGAGGTACATAATAAACAAAATGAAGAAAATCTCAGGATTCGCAAAAAAATGATACTTGTAGCAGCACAATGATGCGCAATTATTTTTGATCTCGATGAAAAAATTTTTAATTGACCCCCCACCTTGTTATAGTGATCTTAAAATAAGCTATATGAATCTCACGTGGCCCCCAACTCATTATATTCCAGTCCATTCACATCTGCAACTCCGCACGTGAGAGGGAAGAAAAAAAAATTTCGACGAAAGCGGGAGTATCACTTTATACATGTGTGAAAACAAAGTCCGCCCCGTATGATATCCCATACATGTATGAACTCATCGCCCAGCATCACCAAATCACCATGACCACATATACACACGATACACACAGTCACACGGGCGAAACTCCAGTCACTTAGCAACAGCTATACTCTTTCCCTTGATGCTTCTCCTATTCGCTTCGTCTGATGTGTTTTGATCCGCGCGGTGAACGCCGTCGACGTCTTTTTTTTTTTTTTTTTTCATCTCTCCCGCGTTCGCAACCTTCGCATACTTTCATACTTTTGTCGTAAGTATTGTGCGCAGTTGAAAATCCAAACACGAAAATTGCCCTCACTCTCATCCGTCATGGGGATACGGTATATAATATACAAGCGATGTATTTTTTTGAATTTTTTTTTTTCTATTTTTGCTGGTATAGGTATAAAGTGTCCTGGTAAATTATTTGTTGAATCAGACAAAGGACAAAAAAAGTTCAAAAATGACGTGCTTTGTTTTTCGAGCAAAACACCTTGGCTTCCTACAGTGTTACGGTTTTTGCCTCCAACAGACCTGATGAACAACATTTGTTGAAATATTTACTTACTGTCTTTTGCTTGATATACTATGCAATGGCAGTGAGTCATAACCCATTATTCTCTGTGATCATCGTAAGTGTTTTAATTTGCATCCATAGTGTTTGAAACTATATGGGTGAGCTCCGTGAGTGCCCTGGCCGAGGAGGGAAAGCCAAATCGGATGGTTAGGGTGTAAGTGTTAAATGTATAAAAGTGTTTTTTGGCAAATAAAGGGAATTTTTTATAGAGGGCTAAGGGTTGGGGGTTAAAATCAACACAATTAACATATATTTTTATGTGGCAAAGGATTCCGATTGAAAACACACGCAAAGTGGAGTAAGTACAGGAAGAAAGAATAAAATGAAAAGTAAAGTTTTGTTTCAACCAATAAATAGTTTTTTTTTATATAGTTTAAAAATTTCTATACTTGCTACCAAGACAATTAATCACTGTAACTGTGACTGCAGGAGGGATATTTTTAGTCTTTAATTCTTTTTTTCATCCCGCAAATAAGGTGTGTAACACACGCGAGATACTCTCCCTTGCATAAAAATTGTATTGTTAAAGCCACGCAGCTTTCGTTCATTGTCCAGTCCTCGTATGAGAGTAGGGGTGTAGTGTATTTTCCGTATTTCTTTTTCTATAAACGTAAGTGCCTTGTGACGAGACACGAGCCTGCTATTCTCACGATTTTTCAGTCTCCATACCTTCGGCTTTTGTTGACTCTGCACATGTTTTTTATAAGTACTTACTTATTGTGCATTACAAGATGTTGGTCGCTCATTTCAGGTCTAGTGAAGCTTTGAGTGCACTTTCTCCTTTTTTCTATTTTTTTCTATTGTTTCCATTACATATTAATTCGCGTTTGTTTTATTTCCATTTATTTGGTGTATTCCGATTCGTGTGTGATTCATTGAGTGCGTACTTGTTTAGTGGTAGGAATATAATTGCATAAAAGTATACTTGTATGTTCGTGAAATAGATGATTTTCATCTAAAGTCAATTGGAGTGAGTTTACATGACTTTTTTTCTGTTTTTCAAAGTTTACAAATAAATTACCGTATCGATCGTGTGTATCTGTATGATTTAAGTGTAATAATTTAAACGATTTTCTTATTTTTGGTGTTTGATATACACATGAAACAGTACATCCAGTATTAAATAATCATAAAATAATTTAAAAAGAATTTTTGGCTCGTACATAAATTTTTAGTAATTTTATTTAGAGAACAAAGTGACAATACAATTTTTTCATAAATAATATTTCGATGCATGAGTTTCTTTTCTTGAAACAACAAAATTTGTAATCAGACCTTGTAATTTATTTAACAAACTACACTCAACTGACAAAAAAATACATGCATACCATATTTTATACATAAAATGGAACACACGAAATTCTAAATCGACTTTAGTTTCCAATCCCAACTCACGGTATAAAAAAACAATGTAATTGCATCATTAAATTTTGTTGACCATGTCCATCGAAACTACTTACTTAATTGAAGAAGTGAAACTTGCATTATTTGACTGTGTGATTTTATTTGAAGCACTTTAAAACGTTTTATTTAATCAACGCACGCATTTCAAATTATGCTTCGTGATTTTTGGTACATTGTATGTATAGGTAAGACTCACAATAATGTTATATAACCAGAAACAACAAATTATCATCAATTCTCAGGGAAATTGCATTTTCGAAATTTTAAATAAAAATAATTGCATGCTTTTATTTTTATGTCTCTAAAAAAAATATGACGTTAGAGAGGTTGTACCGTTGTACGTTTTCGAAAAATTAAACCGCAGTGCTTACATACAAAAATGCCGTTGCATACGTGCATTCCCAGCCATAAAATCACAAGTTGTAGACACGAGAAAAATTTATTGTATGCTGTTGTAAAATATGCGGTATAAGTGCCGCCAACAGCGCGACTTGTAGGTGTATTTTGCGATTTTATTTCT